GAGTAACAATGAGTTGATTATTTATCCTTTCATCCATCTTAGTATCCACATTCATCCACACTCATCCAATAAGTAACACTGATCCACAGTGGTGCATAATGACCTACGTTGATCCACTCTTCTACTGACTCACACTGATCCGCTTATCTGATCAAGTTGGATCGGGATCAGAGAATCGTAGAATTGGTTTGATCGAGGGCAAGATTCAGCCACTCTTGACGTCTGTTGCACTGTATCTGCTCGTCCCCACGGCCCGTCCGCCCGAACACTGTGAGCCACTGCAAGACTAACAAGTCTGTCACGACGAGACAGTGATTATTGCTGATGCCCACATCATACCGCCCGTACAGCTATACAGCCGTACAGCCGTACAGCCGTATAACCAGTTCAGACATTCGAGTTGGAAGTCTGCAGACGTCGAGTCAGTCGACCGTGACCGAGTTAATACTCACGACCCCATATCGGCCAGAGTGAAAGCCTCCTCGCCGCGACAGCCTTGTTGTCTGTCCTCCTCCGACAGACGTCCCACACACACAGACACACTCGGACAGATTCTGTTCAGGCAGACGGCGGAGATCATCGCCATAAAAGTGATTTTTCTCGCCAACGAATACAAGTGAGGTAGTAAAGGGAAGTGTGTCGAAACTTATTTATCATACCTCATTACGAGAAATGCAATTAAACCACTAAATCATCATTAATAGAAGTTTTAAAAGGTGGAAAGTTCGGCAAGTCTTGAGGCCTACTCACAATAATTCTGAGTAGTATTGTTCAAAAATAGTAAATGCAACGTTTTCCACAATAAAATAATGTGACTATTGTTGGTGTACCCTTCATTTCGATTGGAAAAGTGAATGCAAATCATTCATGAATTGATTGAACGGGACATCGAAAGAGGATTCTCTCGAACTTATGATCGGTGGATGGTAGAATTAAGATCTCCTTTCGCCGTCCTGCGATGTCGTCATGGGACAGACGTTATCAGAGCCAAAAAGCATACTTTATTTCAAGTTCACACAAATCACTAACCCACTATCCCTTCTGGTTTTAAGAAGAGGTGAAGACTGACATTCTCAAAGAATATATTCACAGCCATTATAAGTAGTATTTTTTTATTATAAGTAGGCTTTTGAGACTACCAGTAGATAATTCATGCATGGGATATATTTACTCAATTTCATTTTCCCACAATCTGAGCAGCAGAACTTAAGTTTCAACCAAATTTACCATTGACTTGCTTGCAAAAAGGTATTTTCATCCGGACTCGAATGGACTGCATCTACCGCCTCGCTTGAACTGGTCTCATTCGTATGTCCAGTCAGACAGGAATCATGACCATCAACACGAAAACGACTACATCACACTGCCACGAGTGCCCTTTGCTGGCAGGGCAGATGTGAATGGCAAGGAAGGCATCACATTCACTGGTGTGATTGTCGGTCACGCGAAATTGTATTTACTAAAGAACTATACTACTTATTTCTCCTTTATAAGTAGGTTTCGGGACTTTCATTAAATAAGACATATCAACTTGAACTAAATTGGGTGAATACACCTCATATAAGGCGTATTGTTGGAAAATAACAAATAGATGACTATCTGGTCTACTTTTCCTGCCAACCAGTCCAACCGTAATGTGACGAAGCTTATCTGCACTAGAAAGCCTGCTTTCCCACAACTTCTAAATGATAATAATTCCCTCTTAGACTTAGTTAAGAATAGCTTCACATTACAAATAACTGCATGTGTGCATGGGAACCAAAGAAACAGCATCCCCTTTTCACATTTCGACTTGATGTTGGTGCGATATGTCTAAACCAACTGTTAAGGAGACAGGGAATAAAAAGCATTTGCTTTAGTTTTGCCTAGTTCAGAGTGAGATGTGCCCAATGCTCTACAGATTGGCTACTATATGATGGCGTGGGGATACAGTTGACTTCTTGATGTAGAAATCTGTCGCCAGCGTCGACATAGAATGGCTAAGTCCGTCTCATGACGACATGGTAAGACGCTGATACGAAGTCTTCTCCCTTGTACAATCAATTTCAGTCTCAAGTTAAGGGAAAACCTTTATTGATGTCTTTTTGCACCCAACTTTCAGGCCAAATGGAAGGTACATTTTGAATAATTATGCAAAACTGGATGAGACAATTGCTGAGCTCACTTTTATTTCGAATGAAAATGTTTGGTGAAAAGATTCGAAGTTTGATCCCATTAGAAGACGACGGCGGATTGGCTTTATTGACACATTCTTGTTGACGCTGTTTCCGAGGCAATCTGCTTCGATTCCGGTTAGGAGGAATTCGTTTTTGCTTTCGTCTTCTTTTGGGATCAACCTACGAATGTCTTCACCAAACATTTTCACTCGAAATGAAAGTAAGCTCAACACTAGTCTCATCTAGTTTTGCATAATAATTAAAAATGCGATTTATGCCGGCGTACCCTCCATTTCGGTTGAAAGTTGAGTGCAAATGATTTGTGAAATGGCTTCGACAGACATCGAAAAAGGTTTGTCTTTAACTTGAGACTGAAATTGATTGTACAAAGGAGACGTTGTCAGAGTCAGATCGTACAGCCAATCTATGTCGATGCTGGCGACAGGTTTCTACATCAAGAAGGCAACTGTATCTCCACGTCATCATATAGCAGCCGATCTGTAGAGAATTGGGGAAAATCTCACTTTAAAACTAGGCAAAACTAAAGCAAATGCCATCGTCTATTTGAAATGCCTTTTATTCCCTTAACAATTAGGCTAGACATATCACATTTAGCACTTTAATTCAAAATAAAATCAATTTCATCAATTATGAAGCAAGAGATTCTTTGAAACCCAACTATTATTCACCATAATGAGATTTTTTTGCTATTTCTCACCAATACTACTTACAACCGTTGTGAGTAGGCGTCAAGACTGTCAGCCCTGCCGAGCTCTTAAAACAACTAGAAATGGTGGTTTAATGATTTTAGTGAGTTTCGCATTTTTTGTGGTTATTTGCCCATTTGGTTGCGACGTTTTCCGTCAAATGACTGCGAATAAGTTCCGTCTGAATGTATCAGGGCTTCAAGTGGTTGAATGAAGGCTTTCTCTTTCGCATGGAAGCCTTTCTTCTTCCATCTCCGATGGACCCAAATTTTACAAACTCCTTCAAGCTACCTTTTTACACAAAACCAAGTAAACAGAAGCCGGCGATTGTGTTCAGCTCGAGCCCAACCTTTGCTTAACTTGATTCATCCCAACCCAACCCAACCCAACCCGATCTGACCCGACTCACTCGCAGGTTGTGGACATGTCGGCCCAATAGTCTCGAGGCGAGAGCGAGTGTGTGGCGACGCCGACGGGATAGGGAGCGTCACATGTGAACAGTTCATCGGGCTCCAGAGGCCGTCGAATCGGCCAATTTTGTCCACTTCGTTCACGTCGTCGACGTCTTCCATATGGTTCACTTTTCCAACAGTACGTCCATCCTCTTGCGTCGTCCATATCGTCCACTTTTCTTATTTCGTCCACTGCGTTCAGGTCGTCGACATCTTTCCTGTATTCCACTCAATTGTTTCTTTCTTTC